CTGCCACCCTTCCCATCAGAAGTACCCAGGAGTGAGAGCCAGCAGTGGCTGGACCACGAGGGAGAACATGGACCTTCCAGGGCCTGGGCTTTCACCCCCTCAGCGCCATGAGAGCGTGTGGGGAGCCCCTTCCTGGAGCACTCGGCCTAAACACTGGCTGGCAGAGCAGACTTGGGGCCCAGCAGGCTCAGGAGCTCTGGTCCTGAGGGTGGCCTGGGGACCAGAGCAAGTGCTGGCTCTGCAGTGGGGGAGGCAGAGGGAGGCAGGGTTGTGCCAATTCAGAGGCCAGAGCCTGAGCGGCTCCAGCGGCGATTACCTCCGGGACCTTGAGCTGATCATGTGACCCTTCTGAGCCTCAGTTTCCTCGTACATGAAAAGGACATCTCCCTGCTTGCCTCGTAGGGCTGCTGTGAAGATCAGAGGACTGGGCTTTATGGAAAAGGATCCTGCTGGCCCAGCACGGGTGTTACTGAGAAGGCTTGCGATTCTCACCAAGCATCCCATCGAGACCTCACTTTATTTCTTTGAGTGGAATGAGCTATTGGATCCCTGTCCCCTACTCTCCCTTCCCCTCCAGGTGATGGGGCAGGGGAGGAAGAAGAGCGGGGAGAGGCCAAGCCTGTGCCCTGTACGCCCAACAGGAGTTGGTGGCTAGAGGCCAGGGCCAGGCTGGGGGTGGAGTGGACAGTGGCCGGGGTTGCAGGAGGAAGGGCGGGTTAATGAAGTGTGGATTGACTGGCCCGGGAGCTGATTAGTTCTGGCACTGGGCTTTTCCTGAGCAGAGGCAGAAGAATCGATACTAATCCCTTGATCCATTTAGGAGTTCCTATGGATCTCTGGGACAAATCCTGCCTCCCTTTGATAGGGGAACTGTCTGGAGCTGGAGCTGGAGCTGGAGCTGGAGCCTTGACTAGCATCCGTCCCCCATCTTCTTTCAAAATGTCCCCTCCTTCTGCCTCCTGTTGCCACCTCCCTGCTCCCGTGCCCAGAAGGCTGGCACCTGCCCCAGCACCACCACCCCCATCCTCACCCCTTCTGGGCCTGACCAGTGGAGCCATGGAACTGGCTCTGCTCCTCCACAAGGAGGCTTCAGCATCTGTCTCCCCACCCCCGGGACTTGGGCTCTCAGATGACGAAGGCCGGCTTTTCCTGCACATATACAGCAAAAGCTCTCTTAGCCAGCGTCTCCTTGACCGCTTGACCTAGGTAGTACATGGACCGGTCTCCCGTGTTTCATCCTCAAGCACTCCAGTGGTGTCCGGGCCAGTGCAATGCTGCATCTCCCCTCTGGTGGCCGCTTCTGCTCACAACAGTTGAGTCACATGCTGGCCTGGAGTCCGAGGGTCTGTAATGTTTATTCCTAACCTGTTTTTAAAGATCATGCTTGTGATCCTTACCTCAGAATATTATATAAACCATGAAACATGGGCTGGAAAGAGATGTGTTGTTTTTGTGAAACCTAAGTTGAACGGTGGAAAAAGTCATAAAAATTCTAAAGGATGCTGCATGCAGATCGCACACCAAGTGCCCTTCAGGTCTTGGATCACTTTAAAGAAATTAACATGGAGGTCACGGGTGGTGCACTATGGTGGGCATAATGCCAGAAATGTGCAGCAGAATGCCCCAGCGGCCTGGCACCCAGGCAAAGGCCGAGGGGCTGCATGGAGAGAGTGGGAGTGCTGGAAGCAAACCAGCCATGAGTGGTTGGGATTTGAGGGAACATGGCCCCATGTGGTGCAGTAATGGGGAGACATCATCTACTGGACTCTTGCCTCTTTCATCGTTACTTAAGTTGAAACATGCATCACATGTGTGTATCATTTGAAGAACTGTCGCTTTAACAGACTCCTTTGGCCAACCAAAGCACTGTTTGCAACCTTACTTAGTAGCATGGTTTATCATCTATCAGAGACAAGTGTCTTGGATGGTTTCTGAGTTTGTTTGTAACTGACACTCATCAAACACACACACACATGTGCATGCACACATATGCACACACACACTCAGTCTCTGCAACATTGGTCCTTACCACACATCAGCCTGAGCTGTGTAAGTCCCTCCTTCCCTCGGGCTCGGAGGTGCTAGAAGGAAGCCCTGGCACCTCTCCCAGGCTGCTGCATTGCCCAGAGATTCCAGCACACAACTTGCCCACTATAGGTGCTGACTCAATATTTGTTGAATGGAAGTAAGTAAGCCTTCTCTTCAGAAACCAGGGACATTGATGAGGTGCCTTTTGAACACCTGCAGACTCAGTAGAAAGCCTTTCCATGCATTTGGAATTGTCCATCCTGGCAGCCACCCTTACACCTAACCCTGCCTCCCCAGGCCCAACCTCTCCTGAGAGCCTGACTGGCTCTGTGCCAGCCTTGGACACATCAGAGCCTTCCTATCTGGGTCCAGATACCTCCTAGTTCTCATGCACAGCTCATGATACCCTAAAACCCTTAGATTCCTATAAATAGGTCTTTCCCAATGTGGGCAGTCTCCCTGGGTAATCCCTCAAATTATGATGGAGTTCATGGGAAGCAGGTATGTCAGCCTCTTGCTTTGACTTTGGCCTGAATGCCCACTTGACTCGCCTTTCCCCAAGCAGAATATATCTTCATTCTCATGGAGCCGTAACTGTTGATAAAATAACAGAGCTGAAAATTCATTCAAACTTTTATAATCGGCCTCCATATTTTAAAGATGAAGTTACAGGCCGAGGAGGGCAAACAGTGGATCCCCATTCCCCAGTGGGGAACCGACCAGAGCACTGTCCAGGCTGCTTTCTCCCCACCTCCCTACCCCTGGGCAGCAGACCCTGGGTCCCCACACTCCTTCATGCCTGCACAGTCTGCTTCAGCCACACCTGGCTGCCTCCACCCGACTCCCTCAAACACCTCATTCTCCCTGCCCTGCCCCTGCCCCTGCCCCTTCTCCTGGCTGCTGGGTGTGGCCAAGCCCTTCCTCCGTCCTGGTGTTGACTCTTCTGCCTGCTTCCACCAAAGGTCCAGAGCAATGCCAGGCTCTGTGGTGGATGCAGCCTGCAGAGATGAGCCTGGGGCCACAGACAAGCTGTGGGCCTTCCTCCAAGGCCCCGGGCAGAAGAAGGCTGTGGTGAGCTAGGATCCTTGCAGCCTCATCTCAGACCTGTACCTCAGATCTGAGGTTGGGGTAGGTGCAGCCTCCCCCTGCCCCAGGCCCTCCCACAGGTCCCCCTGCCCTCTGCCCCAGGCCCCCTCACTCAGGTCACACCCTCCCAGGGCCCCCACAGCCCTAAGTTCCCCCCTTTTTTGAGCTCTACCCCCAAGTCCAGGCCCCATTTCCCACAAACCCTCCCCTGCTGGCCAGTGGGCTTTCTCTAAGGCTGGGGGCTCACCCTGTTCTGCTTAATAACCACCTGGTAATTAGCTCCACGATTTTGCTACTATGCTTATAATAGCCTCCATTAAAGTTATGGGATTTTCAAGCCGTAATGGCTTCCAGAGTAATTAATGCACAACTGGGTTTATTGCTAAGCTTATTTTTAGAGTTTTCCTCCCTCATCCCCCCTCCCTTTCCTGTCTTAGATACCTTGACCAGAAAGACAAAATGGGACAGAACTCTCTCTCCACGGCTCCCTTGCAGCCTTGCCCCCCCTTCCCCCCCTTCCTGCTCCTGTCTCCAGGAAGGTGCTGTGACAGCAGAGGTGGCTTTGGTGGAGGAGGGTGGCTCTGTGCCAGGGCCTATATGTGTCCTTGTGCTCATCCCATGCCTGATAAGACTTGGTGGGGCCTCTCAGCCTAGGATCTCCCTTCCCATGCACCTGATTGCAGCAGACCAAAGGGCCTGGGTTTGTGTCTGGCTGTCTGGCTCCATGTCTGGCTGTGACCTTGGACAAGCCACTGATTAATTTTCTGCTTATTGTGAAATAGCGATAAGGACAGCATATGTCACGCTTCGCAGTTTGCTTCAGCCACACCTGGCTGCCTCCACCCGACTCCCTCAATCATCTTTCTCCCTGCCCTGCCCCTGCCCCTCTCCTGGCCTCTGGGTGTGGCCAACCACTTCCTCCTGGTGTTGGCTCTGCTTGCTGTAATACTAAACATGAACTGCTGAGTGTCACCTGGGGCACCATAAATGCTATCTTAACAGCTATTATTACTAACAGCCCAGCAGATAAGCAGGGCATTGGGCAAGTGCCAAAGGTGGAAGGCATGGAATAGAGAGGCTGCCCAGAGGGACAGAGTGGAAGCAGCTACGTGTGCATGCAGGCAGCACACTGACACGCACACCAGACTGCTCGAAGCTCGCCTCGCGTGGCTTTCTCCACCCAGAACCTAGGGCTCTCCTCAAGATAAAGGGCGTATGAAAAGGCTCCGCTGGGAGCCGCTGAGAACGCAGAGGAAACCTCCAGCCTTTTAGAAGCTCCCCTGTCTTCTATCAAATGGCCTAGGATCAGCCAGCCCTTTGCAGCCCCATCTGTGGTCTTGGAGTGGTCACATGGGACTGGGGTTGGGGGTGTGATATGAGGCTACTCTGCTTCATTACACCCCTTTATCCAGGCTGTGAAAAAAAATATCTGGGTCCAAACAAGGGGACAGCACAGCCTTGAGCATTCAGTATGTGTGCATCAGGTGCCATCCTAAGGGCTTCCTACGCTCTTCTTTAATTCTCAGAGCCACCTTGTAAAGTAGAAACTGATGGCGCCCGTTTCGTACATGAGAAAACTGCGGCATGTACTGTTGCTGTGGCAAAGGAACTATAGCTTGTTGGTAGCATAGTTCGTGTTTAAACCAAGGCAGGTGTATCTGAAGTCTGTGCCCTTAAGCTCTGCGCCCCGCTGAGCGCCAGGGTGTGGCAGAGTCACGTCACCATTTCTGTCGGGAGCAGAGGTCCGCTTCCCCCGGGTAGGCGGGCAGCAGGGTCCTCCGGGAGAAGGAAGTCCGAGCTCCACCGAGACAACCTGGAGCTGGGCCGGCCCTTCTGGACGCCTGCCCGCCCCAGGTCTCTGGCCAGCCTCTTCTGCTCTCTTTCAGGTACGCGCCTTGCAGGGTCCCTGACTGTGCCCGAGCAGCCACCCCTTCTGAAACTGAAACTCTAGCCTGGCTGGACTCTGCAAGCCTGCATCCGCAATGGGTGGGTTCTGAGCGCCGGTAAGGCCTGCTAGCCAGCATGCGGCTTCTCTGTTGTCCCCGTGTCTGGCCCGTCCGGCCCATTCCTGTTCTTTTCTCCCCTGTGCGTGTCACCGTGTGCCGCCCGGCGCCACCCCTCTCCTGACCTCGCTGCTGCTCAGGTAACGAGGAGCTGTGGGCCCCGCCAGCCGTGGAGATGCCGAAAAGACGGGACGTCCTTGCAGTCGTGCTCATCGTGCTGCCCTGGACGCTGCTGGTCACCGTGTGGCACCAGAGCACCATCGCGCCGCTGCTGTCGGCACACAAGGGTGAGCCCCCAGCCAGGGTCAGCAGCGAGAGAGCACAGCCGGTGCTGCTGGAGTCTTATTTCCATTTACCAAGCAGCTGGGGGGAGCCGTAAGGATGATCCAGGCCGATAGCCTGACCCGTCTAGGGGTCTTGGCCCTTTTGGGAACCTGGTGGATGCTGCCCCCCCCCCCACACACACACACACCTCGGGTCCAGTGCGGTGAAGAGGGTCCTTGGCCTGCGTCGTGTCTTAGAATCTTCCAAGGAGAATACGTTATTCACCCCTCTTTTTCTGGTTATGTTATTGGCGGAAGTGGGGGATCCTTTCCCCCACTGAGTGCTGGGGGTGGAATCCTTACGATACCTTGAGAAAAATAACTTTCCAAGACTTGCACAGGACGATTGGTGATTTTTATTTGTGTGGAATTACATCCCTGGGTTTCCAAAATCCCATTTCCCTGAAGTGCAGATGGGGCTTCAGTGGAGCTAGAAGCAAAGCCAGTATCCAGAGTTTCCGTCCCACGTTGCAGCCGGGTCCGGGTCACCATCAGGCTGCTTGCAGTCCATTAGTCCATAGTGTGTGGGATCCACACAGCCATGGGCCACGCGGGTGAATGCGGGAGAGCAAAGAGCGCATGCCCCCTGCAACAAGAGTCCAAAAGGCGCAAGAGAAAACCAGGAGAGTGAACTTCCTTGTTCAGGGAATTAAGATCCCAGATCTTCCCGCACTTGCGGTGGCCACACCCATTCTGGCCAGTGACCTCTGTTCCCAGGCGTGACTGACAGCAAACACCTTCCCAACACTACCCCAGCTTTACTGGGCATGCGTCTGCCTTCCCTTTGCTGCAGCTTCCTGGTGAAGCTGTCCAAATGATACGCCTATAACATCCGGCCTTCCCTTTGCTCCGTTCCGATTATTAATAACTAGGTTAATTACAACAGTACCAGGTAGGCAGCCCTGACCGAGTCTGACCTAGTGACATAGGCCTAGCCAGAGGAAAAGCCCCACAGAGCTCTTCCGGGAGACCTGGGCTGAGTCCTGAGCTCCCCCTCCACCAGGCTACCTTTTCCTCTGCCGCTGAGGATCCCTCCACCCCCAACCCTCCCTGTGCCCGCATCTGGCCTGCGCCTCATGCCTTCAGTCTTTAGCCATGCTCCTCTCCCCTCTGCACTTCGCACCCCCACAGACCCAACACTCCAGGCAGCAGTTCTCCCACTGATGTGTACGCAGTATGACATGGGGAGCAAAATAAAACGTGAAGGCACCTGGCCCATCTCAGCGAGAGATGATGAGGGCCCCGGGTAGGGCCTGAAACTCTGCATGTAGCCATAACCCCAAGTGACTGGGATGCAGGCCGTAGCCAAGAATCACAGCTGAAGCCAGGCTGCTCTACACAGTGACACGTCTGGCCCTGCTCAGCCCCAGCAGTTCCCAAAGCCTCAGTGACGGAGGGCCAACCTGAGCATCGCTAACTTCCCACTGCCAAGTGCTGGGCCCTTAGAGCCTGTCCCCCGACAGTCATCCTCTCCTCCCAACTCCAACGTCCCTCTTTGCTGCTTGTGACTCTAGAAGTGTTTTCCTTCCGCAGCTACATCTGGGCAGAGGGGTTAAACTACCATCTACAGAGTGGCATGACTTCATGTGCTCTCCTTCCTGGCAGAGCTCCAGGGTCAAAGGTGTCAGGCTGCTTTGCTCAGCACTGATATCATGCCTTGGGACAAGGACATGGCCTCCTGTCCCCGAGCACGCCAAGAGGGGCTGAACAGAAGCTGCAGCAAAATGAAGTCAGAGTCCCAGGGAGACCCTCATGACCCAAAGGTTGTAGAAACCACGAAGCCAGTGGGAAGGGCTGAGCTCAGGCTGTGGCCGGGCCTGATGTGTGGAGGACTCTCTCAAGGCATAGAGCTACCTGCTTTTGAGGGTCTGAATGGCAGAAAGATGCAGAAAATGCTCTAAATCTTCTTCCCAGTTCTTGGCTTTCCAAACTTTACTGACAGGATAAATCGGTCCTTATATAGCTTCATCAGAATCCCAGTCGCTCATCTCTCTTTCCTTAAACTTGTTCTCTTTTCACAGTTTGACCCAAAACTCCAAAAAGTAACCTTTGATCAGCTGTGTCTGTGCTTGTCTCCCACCCCTGCACTTGCACCCATGGCATCGTCCCCACAGCCTGAGGAGCAGCTCCCAGCTTGTGCTGTGGGCCTTGCTGCCCCATTAGCGTGTGTGAACCCTGGCAGTGCCGGGAGCAGGTCTTCTCCTGGGCTCATCTGTGTCTCTCACAGAGCCCAGGGTCACACCTCACACAAGAACCCACACAAGCCACGTGCTAATGACTGGTGGGGAGGAGGGAAAGTGACACAATGGCTGACTCACGGTGTCCTCCCCAGGGCCACTCCTCAGCCCTTTCACTGCTCATTGCATCTTTTCCATAGCTGCAAGAAGCTGAGAGGACAGGCTAGCTACTGTCCTCTTCTCTACAAGAGGACATGACAGTAACGGCCTCACCATGTTCCAGGACCTCCCTGGTTCCAGGACCATGTACCGACTCCTTAACCCATAGTGGAGCTCAGTGAAGTAGGTGCTGCGGTTAGCTCCCCTTTATAGTTGCCCAGATTAAGAAACCAGAAGCTAAGTGGCAGAAATGGGCAGCTTCTGCGCCCAGGCAGGAGGGTTCTTAGGTGTGTCCTCTGACCATGATCACCTCCTGCTAGATGGTACGAGAGAGGTGAGGGCCACACAGTCGCTCACACAGAAAGACATAAGTGGGGAGAGGGGCTCGTTGAGAACATGGCCACCAATGGCCCTGAGTTCTCCTCTTGATGGACTAGTAGCTTCACTAGGGGGAATGCCCAGGATGGAAGGGGAGACGTGGTCGCTGGAACTGCCCCAGTTGGAGCGGGCTGTCCTCTGGAAGGAGTGGGCTCTCCCTACCCAGAGTACTTCCCAGCGGCCAGGCCTCTGCAGGTTTTCACACGATGTCCTTGGGAAGATATGGGTAAGCGTTAGCTGGGTGCTGGGACAGTTAGGGTCAGTGGTGCGGTTAGCCTCCCAGGTGGTTGAATGAGTGCTTCCAGAAAGTGCAGATCGGGAGACCGACATCAGACCGGCAGGAGAGCTAAAGCAGGTCTCCGCCCATCCTTTTGTGTACACCAAAGTGTCAGAACACCCCAAAGCAGAAAGGACAGGTTCGGGATCCAGAATTATCTTGAGAACTGTGGGCAAAATCCTGGAATAAAATGAGGAAGTTAGATATTAAATTCTGCAGAGGTTCAAAGAATGGAGTGCGCAGGTCTGGGAGGGAAGAGGCCCTATTGGGCTAGCGCGTTTGTGAAAAATCGGGGTGCGCCAACCTCACACTTCAGGGTTCACAGTGGCATGAAAGCACTAACCCTGCTCTGGGCACTGTGGTGTCTGCATCACAGGGTGGCCGTGGCAGTGCCAGGGTGTCCTGCAGCCCCAACGCTGTGTGGCAGTGCGGTCAGCTCCGGCCTGATGAGGGGGGCACTGGGCTGGGGAGGGTCGGATACTTTGTCACAGAAAACTCAACATGCAGGAGCTGCAGATGCAGCCCTGGGACCTGCCGGCTGCCTCCACGCAGCCACAGAGCGGTCGGGTGCGGGAGGAGGCAGAGGTCACCCTGCTGTCTGGGGCTCAGAGCCAGGAACCTGCGGGATCCCAGGGGTGCTGCGGGCGCTCAGAGGCAGAGCCCCCGGCAGGGGTCCGAGACATTCCCCGGAGGCGCAGAGGGCAGGTTCCGCCTTGGCAGGGCGGGGGGCATCCTGCCGGTCGGTACCCGAGGCCAGAGCCAGCTCGGTGCCCACGCGGCCTTGCCCGCCCCACAGGTGACGGCGCCGAGCGGCGGCCCGTCCCGCCGGGCGCGGACCCCAGGGAGTACTGCGCGTCCGACCGCGACATCGTGGAGGTGGTGCGCACCGAGTACGTGTACACGCGGCCGCCGCCCTGGTCCGACACGCTGCCCACCATCCACGTGGTGACGCCCACCTACAGCCGCCCGGTGCAGAAGGCCGAGCTCACGCGCCTGGCCAACACGCTGCTGCACGTGCCCAACCTGCACTGGCTGGTCGTGGAGGACGCGCCGCAGCGCACGCCGCTGGCCACGCGCCTGCTGCGCGACACCGGCCTCAACTACACGCACCTGCACGTGGAGACGCCGCGCAACTACAAGCTGCGGGGCGACGCCCGCGACCCGCGCATCCCGCGGGGCACCGTGCAGCGCAACCTGGCCCTGCGCTGGCTGCGCGAGACCTTCCCCCGCAACGCCAGCCAGCCCGGCGTGGTCTA